CGCGAAGTCGGCCAAAGTGGGGACCTCACCCACGCGGACGCGCTGGGTATAATGATCCTCCCACGCAGTGGAAGGGCTACCTCGCAATTTGGTTGCGAGCACATCGCACCACAACTCTCGACGGGTGGTCGTCATAGAGAGCGTGCGCGTTGCTATCTGCAACCAGCGAGCGACATGGGATGTGCCATCATACTCGGGAATGTCCGTGGTGCGCACAGGAGGATGTCCACTGTGCTGATGGCGGGGGGAGAGTGATCGAGGCGAGTGCACTGCGGCAGCATAAGTCGAGGCCGCTGCAGGAGCAGAGGTGGGGGAAGGCTGTGGGCCGTGGCCGCTGGCGGATGGACCAGCAGACGAGGAGGCAACGACCGCGGGCAGCTGTCCCGGAATAGCCAGGTAGGAGGGAAGAGGCTGAGGAGCAGGGCGAGGGAAACGAGCCTGCATCATGGGGACCGAAGGGGTGGTAGAGGAAGAAGGGTGGGCAGCCTCGAAGGGGTGGTAGAGGAAGAAGGGTGGGCAGCCTGTAATGGGTGAGGCTGTCTCAGAGCGAGAATCTCCGCCTGAGCCTGCGCAATGGTGGCCTGTAAAGTGGCCATTCGCTGGGTGCGCGGGGTCGGAGGTGTAGGGGGCGGAGCGGGTCACCCAGTAGGAGGAGGAATCCTAGTCTGGGCGGTACCCTGCTGTGGGGGTGGGGGGACGAAGGCACGAAGAAAAGGGCGGAGCCGTATTGCCGCGATCGGTGTGGGAAGCTGGGAAGCAACACCGGTGTGGGTCGATGAAACTGCTGGGCCAGAAGGCGGTACCTGGACCGCAGCACCTACGACAGTAGTAGAGACGGTAGGGGTGGCCGTGGCCGGAAGAACTGCCGCAACAGACGGGGTGGTCTGAGCGGCAGCAGCACTCGCCACCGCTGAGGGGGAGTGTTGGGCCTGGCCCGCAGAGGAGGGGGAACCATGGTGACTCCGTCTCCGGAGTCCTGGGGAGCCGGAATCGGAGCCGGTAGGGGAAGGGGTGTGAGAGCGGTGGGGAGAGCGATGAGGGGAGCCCTTGAGGCGGTTGACTTCGAGGGCTACCGCATTGATTTGCGCTTGCAACGGTCCAAGCGTACTAAGTTGTGCCTGGATTGCTATAAGGACGGCATGAAGGTCCATGGTGTCCGCATGGGCCTGATCATGAGCCGCTGACGGCTCGCTGACCTGGGGTGTGGACTGCACGGCGGCGATCTCCTCGGATGAACTCCCTTCCATGGCCGGAAGGGGAATGGAGGTAGTCCTCAGAGGAGTGTGTGGGGAAAGGGGCCCACCGGTAAGAGGAAGGGGACCGCGGGAGCGGAGTGAGTATGTGTGAGTC